ACTCAAACGATAAATCAATCGAACGATGTCGGCAATCAGACTTATGTATGAATGGGCCAAGAACTCAGAATTGACACGATGAATTGGGCCAAAATGCACAAGTCTGCGTATGAGAGCAAAAGAGGAGGCAGCCTGCCGAAATTGGGCCAGGTCGGCCCAGCCCATGGTTCGGCCGAACCCCCCGCAGCTCCATTTGATCCAGGGTTCTTCTGGACGGCTGAGATGGCTCCCCAATGACTGTTGGAGGGTATTACCGACCATTCCAACCGTCACAACCGTCATTGGGAGGCTATAAAAGGAGCTCTCATCCTCACTTCACTCACACACCTCAAGCAAGAGCTCTCTCATTTCTCTCATGTTTAGTTTAGTAGTATCTAGCTGGTGGAATAGGAATAGAGTAGAAATCAGGAGTTCGGAAGTCTTCGGAAGAGTTCGGGTATGGCTCTAGTAGCTTTCCTTTCCTCTTTTGTAAGCTTTGTACTTTTCTTAGAATACCCTTCTATATACATTTATGGTATTGAAATACTTTCCGAGAATATGAATGCCATCTTTACATTATGTTCATGTTATACTGAATATACGGCTAGCTTATCTGGGAGATGCTTTGGTGCGGGTATAATGTTTGCTTATGCAATTACTGTATGTCATGACGATGATATTAGAGTAGTATCTGGTAGTTTAGACGTGGTGTCTAGATTACGGGATATCATTATTTGGGGTTATATGCTGCGGATAAGAGGTGGGCCGCTGATGGTGACAGCTCAGTACGGGTATTCCTTCGCGCCTGTATATAATCCTAAGTTAATTCCCTGGGGAGGGTATTCCTCCGTATTTAGCCCCGGTTGTATGGTCATGACGGGATGTCGTAAGGAACTCGGCAGTCAGGGGTGGCTTCTCGAAGTACCAGGAGGGCATTGGAGAGAGGGTATTAGCTAGTATATCAGTTAACTAGAATATATGTATATTATGTGTATTAGAAGTAGAATAGATTTTCTTTCTCTTTTCTTTCCACTTAGCTTAGATAATATATATTGAGAATGAGAAGCTAATGCTTGTGTGTCACTCTACCCTTGGATTATCTTAACCCCTGTTTAGAATATGATTATTACAAGTAATATATAAATTATTAGTCAAGTTCTCTCTACATGATCTTCCCACGGGATAAAATAAATACGATACCCTTGGAATACTCTCGGGTGAAATGCTACAATGGTATATTCGTGCACTTGCAGATGAACTCTATAACCATAATATACCAGAAGTATTTTTGCGCCATTGCTGGGAATTATATTTCTAGTAATGTTGTTAAGAAATACCAACACCCGATTGAGATGAGGGTCATCTGTGATGGGCTATAGTGAATGCCCAATTGAGATGAGTAGTCATCTGTGACGGGCGCTAGTTGTGGCTCGATTGAGATAGGTCATCCGTGACGGGCTATAGTTTGACTATTCGTCTGGGTCAAAGCTATCGATGACAGCCGTTTGCCCGATTGAGATAATTTTTCACATCTGTGACTTATAGGCTGTGACGGACACCGTGCCCGATTGAGATGGGGGTTGCCACCCTGTCGGAGATATGGGCCTGGGGGTATACAAAATAAGGGGAATCTACCTTCCCATCCTGCCACGTGTCCTTACAGCCTGGTCCTGCCCCCGCATTCCGCGAACCGCAGGAGCGGCCGGGGGGGTCGGGGCCTCAGGGTGCCACGTCATGCCCCTCGGGCCCTTGCACCGCCTTGCCCCGAGGCCCTCGCCCAGCCGCCATTTGGCGGTTGGAGCGAGCGAGGAGGGAGCCCACGCTGAACCTCCTTTAATGCACGCAGCACCCCAACTACCCCCTGTCGCATTTAATGCAGTGGAACAGACGTGCGGCGTGCTAAAGTGACGCGCGATGGTCAAGAATGACCGGTGCCCCTGAGCAAGGGTGCCCCAGATCATCTGCCCCTGACAGCACGGACCGGCCCCACCGAAAGGTGACGCGAAGACCCGATACCCACAGGCCCAGAAGATGCTTTATGCAATCTTAATGGCCTCAAGGAAATTGTGCCACTATTTCCAAGCGCATCGGGTGTCCGTAGTGACATCCTACCCTCTCGACCAAATCTTGCACAACCGAGAGGGTACTGGTCGGGTTGTAAAGTGGGCCATCGAGCTTGCTGAGTTTGACCTGCACTTCGAACCACAGCACACGATCAAAAGCCAGGTCCTGGCTGACTTCGTCGCGGAGTGGACCCCAGTTGACGACCTTGTTCTATCCAACGTTCCTTCCCTCCCCGGAGATGGAGAGGACCCAAACGCCGACATTCGTGGCGGGCACTGGGTTATGCATTTCGATGGCTCCCTCAACCTTCAAGGTGCAGGTGCCGGAGTCACGCTGACTTCGCCAAGCGGGGACATCCTCAAATACGTCGTTCGGCTCGACTTCCGAGCCACGAACAACATGGCGGAATACGAAGGACTCCTCGCGGGGTTGAGGGCAGCGGCCGGAATGGGCATCCGCCGTCTCCTGGTCCTAGGCGACTCCCAGCTGGTCGTGAATCAAGTATCCAAAGAATACCACTGCACCGACGCACAAATGGACACATATGTCCGCTAAGTACGGCGCATGGAATGTCACTTCAACGGACTCGAGCTCCGGCACGTGCCCCGACGCGACAACACAATCGCTGATGAGTTGTCGTGTGTCGCGTCGGCGCGAGCCCCACTCCCCTCGGGGTCCTTCGAGGAAAGACTCGCGCAGCCGTCGGCGCGACCGAACCCCCCGAGGGACCCCGAGACCACGCCTTCTGCGCCGACCCTTGGTGACCCGCGTGCCTCGGGGCCCGAGGGGGTCGACCCTGGCCCCCCTCGTCAGGTCGTTTGGATGACGGACATCCGGGCGTATCTTGACAAAAATACTCTTCCTGAGGATCGCGTAGAAGCTGAGAAGCTCGCGCGCATCTCCAAACGGTACGTGCTCGTAGAAGGGATCCTCTACCGGTGTGCTGCCAACGGGATACTCTTGAAGTGTGTTTCTCGGGAGCAAGGCATCGAGCTCATAGCCGACACCCATCAGGGTGAGTGCGGGGCCCATTCGGCCTCACGCACTTTGGTTGGTAAAGCCTTTCGACAAGGTTTTTACTGGCCGACTACGCTGCAGGATGCCCAAGAATGGGTCCGGCGGTGCAAGGCGTGCGAGTTCCACGCCAAGCAAACCCACCAGCCGGCCCAAGCCTTGCAGGTCATCCCACTCTCTTGGCCTTTCGCGGTCTAGGGGCTAGACATCCTCGGACCATTGAAAGCGGCTCGAGGCGGGTATCAACACCTGTATGTCGCCATCGACAAGTTGACCAAGTGGCCCGAAGCATACCCGGTCGTCAAGATCGACAAGCATTCCGCCCTCAAGTTCATCAGGGGCATCACGTCCCGATTCGGAGTGCCCAACCGTATCATTACAGATAACGGCACCCAGTTCACTAGTGAGCTGTTCGGTGACTATTATGACGACATGGGCATCAAATTGTGCTTTGCCTCGCCCGCCCACCCCAAGAGCAACAGCCAAGTCGAGCGAGGCAACGCCGAAATCCTCAAAGGCCTCAAGACCAAGACGTACACCGCCCTGAAGAAACACGGGGATTCGTGGCTCGAGGAGTTGCCCGCCGTGTTGTGGGAAAATCGGACCACTCCAAGTCGCGCCACGGGGGAAACGCCCTTTTTCCTGGTGTACGGCGCCGAGGCGGTCCTACCTTCGGAGCTTTCCCTAGGATCGCCTCGCGTCGCGCTGTACGATGAGGCCAACCAGGATTATCTTCGCCGCGACGACCTCGACTATCTTGAAGAGCGGAGAAGGCACACGGCCCTACGTGCGGCGCGCTACCAACAAAGCCTGCGGCGCCACCATCAGCGCCACGTCCGGGCTCGGTCACTGCAAGTTGGCGACCTCGTCCTACGCCGCGTGCAGTCGCGTCTGGGGCTAAGCAAGCTCTCGCCAATGTGGGAAGGGCCATACAAAGTGATCACAGTTCCCCGGCTAGGCTCTGTTCGACTAACCACGGAGGACGGCACCGAGTTGCCTAACCCCTAGAATATCGAACACCTCCGTCGCTTCTATCCATAGCGTCGCGATTTTTGCTTTCCAGGAGCTCGGGCCAACCCCCGCACAACTCCTCGGCTTGTGCGGGCTTGGCCGGGGGCTACCACTTTCAATTACTTTGTATCCTTTTCCCTTTCCAAGCAATAAATGTTTTCCACCTAAAGTGGAGGCCATTACGCGCCCTTTTTCTCACTCTTTCCTCTGGCTTGTCCTGGTTCAAAGGACAATTCGTGCTTACTCCGAACCCTAAGTGGCGTTGGGTGACCTGAAAACCACCGAAAGGGAGCCTAAACGCGGGCCGCGCCCCGGGTTGTGCCGAACCCCGGGGGCTCGGAAGGGCCTACACACGGCCGTCCCCGACCCCCGGTCGTCGTAGCCTTGGTCTGGCCAGTGCCGCTGGGCGGCTCCCTCGGGGCGACGGTCTTGCCCCTCACCACTTAGGTACTACGGACCGAGTGCGGATTTACCTTTTCGCAAGAACGAGCCCGACGGGGGGGGGGGGGGGGGGTGGGGGGGATGGGGTAAAAACGACATTTCGATCACAGGGAGGTTAATTGTATACTTTTGCTCTTGTTTTTTCTTCTTTCTGTGCCGCAGGATTTAATGCAGAAAGCGAAGGAGTAGAAAGTGCGAAGGGGAAGCTTCATTTACAGACAAGACGGCACGATGGCCTAAAGACAAGAAGTGTCCGCTATAGGCACACAGCAAAAGGAAGTTAAAAGTGGGGATAATCACGGAGTGCCCAGGCCCCCAAGGCCGACGCCGCTAACAACGTCGTCCTAGTCCTCGCCGCCGATGTCGTCACCATCATCTCCGCTCCCGCTCTCCTCGTCCGAGGCAAGCCCGAAGGTGAACCGAGGGGCCGACCCCTCGAAGTTAGAGACGATCGCGTCGGCCGCCTCCCGGACTTGCTCCCGAGCCTTTGCCTAGGTCCCCGGGGGGAAATCCTCGAGTCCGGGCCATGGGACGAAGTCCGGGTTGCGGGCTTGGTGGCTCGCGAGGACCAGTTCCACCGCGGCCCGCGCCAAGGAAGCCGACGACGATTTCATGGTCTCGCCGACCTCCTCCTCCAGCCTCTCCAGATCCGCCACCAGCCCGTCCAGCCGGAGCACGAGTGCCGGCTGTGTGGGCGGGAGCTTACTATCCCGACGCACGGAGATGCTGACTCGGCGCCCCGCGCGCTCCAGCCGATCGACGGCATTGGAGAGCTGCCCGGGTCCGATCTCGTTGGTAAGGCGGAGGGCCGCGATCTCCCTAGCCTGGTCTTGCACCAGGCGCTCTAGGTCGGCAAGAGTGCTATGAGCCGCGGTAAGCTGGCTCACCAACTCCGCGCCGCCGGGCTGCCCGCCCGCCGCCAGGTCCTTCTCCCGAGCCTCCAGCTCAGAAGCCCTCGCCGCCATCGCCGCGTGCACGGCGCGAGCACTCTCCAGATGCTGAGCCTCGCGCCCAGCGACGGCCTCCTCGCGTTTCGCGAGTTGCTCGCCTAGCCGGCACGAGGCCACCTCACGGCGGTTCACCTCGGCTTCGCGCTCGGCGAGTGCGGCGTCCCGTTCCCGGCACGCCTCTTCTCGGAGCCGTAGCTCCTCCGCGTGACGGGCCACCGAAGCTTTCGCGGTGAGAGTGGTCCGGTCACGCTTGGCTGCGGCCTCCTCACGAAGGCGAAGGGAGGGCTCCGCCTCCGCCGCCATTCTCTCGTGGGCAGCCAAGGTGGACTCGCGCTGCTCTTGGGCGGCAGCCGCATCGAGGACACCACGGGCGTCCTTAACCCTCTTCGTCAAGTCCTCGGCATGGACCTCGTACTGTAAGCGGATGTCGCCCAGCGCTTCATCTAGGACGCTTGAGGCAATCAGTGCTGCCTGCCGCTCTTCCTCCGTCTCCCGCATGACGGAGTCCAGCGTCTCCTCGCACGCCTAGATTTTAGCCAGTTGGGCTTGGCGCATTTTGCGTCCCACCTTCACCATGTAGTCCACGGCGCGGCGCCCCTCGTCAACCCGCGCGCGGTCCGCAGGGAGCTGTGCCCACTCTGCCTCCAGGGCCGCTCGCTCTTCCGCCAGGGCTTGAACTTGGGCGTTGAGCCCCTCCCGGACGGTGGAGTGCTGCTGGATCCCCTGCGAGACTGGGGGCCGCTCTCAGCTCGCCTTCTACGCGGCCAGCCCTGAGGGCGCCCCAAGTGCAAGGAGGAGCGGCTACTCCTCTCGCTCCCCGCTTCGGGCCCTCGGGTAGATTCGGCCTCGGCCTCGAGCTCAGGCCCACCCCTAGTTTCGGCCTCGGCCTCGGGCTCAGGGCCGCCTCCAGCCTCGGCTTTCGGGCCGCGACCTCCCTCGCCCCCCGCTCCCGGGTGGCGCTCTGCATGGATCCGGGCCTCGGAGTCGCCCCCGGGAGAGACGCCGCCGCTATCGCTCGCGGCGGGTCGAGTCTCGGCTGTGGTGAACCCAGGGTCGGACCCGGTGTGCGGCCCGTGGGCCCCACCGGGAGGCTGTGAAGGCCCCGCGGCCCTGGATCGGCAAAGCCCGGGCCGCTTCGGTCGTTCGGACTTTGCCCCCTGCAAAGGGTCGGACCCCGAGATCCCATGGGAAGGAATCTCGCTACAGAAGAACCCTGATCGCGTTAACAAAGAAAAAGAAGAGGAAGGAACAAGGGACCGAGATGAGTAAAAAGCACCGAAGCGGGTGCCGGCAGTCGTACCTGTGGGGAGGGCGGTTGAAAGTCCACTTCGGGGGTTCAACGAAGCTCCCCCGACACGGCTCTGTTTGACCTATCTTCCGGAGCCGCTTCTTCTTCCGTCCAACCTCAGGCGTGGCGGGGCGCTTGTGGCCCGCCGGCGGTCGGTCCGCCACGCGCTCGGCGCCCCCTCCGCGCGGGGGAGAGGGCGGTCGAGATTCGGACATCTTCCGTTTCCCTTTTGGGTCGCTGGCCGAGTCGACCCTGGGTCCGCGGCTCGGGCCAGGTGCCCTAGAGCTGCCACCCCCGCCGGGGCCGCCGGTCCGACTCCCGCCTACGGTCGCGCCGCCGCTACCCACGCCGACAGCGCCACTACCGGTGCCGCCCCGGCGGGACCGACCCCTGCCGGCGCCGATGGCCGACATCACAGCCAAGATACTCTCCCGGTCGCGGTCACTGCAGAGGGGAAGGATCCCGTCTGGAATCAGTGTTTGCTCAACGGTGTCCAGACCTAGCACCCGCCGAATCACCATCTTTGCATCCTCCTCGCCTCAATCCCAGCGCTCGCCCACATGCGTGCGCATGGGGTCGTTGGGTCTAGTGTACTCCCACGCGCCACGGGATCGATCTTGGAGAGGCGCGATGCGGCGGCGGAAGTAGTCGCCAAAGACCATTACCCCCGTGAGGCCCAGGCTTCGCAGGCCCCTAAGGCGATCCCGCACTGTGTCGTACTCCTCGCCCAGCTCCGAAACCGCCAGCCATGCGGCGGATCATTCGGGAGGGCCGGCGGGGAGCCGAAGTCACGAGTGGTCCGGCAGTGCGGTGTAGAACCAGTCCTTCTTCCAGTCCTCCAATTTCTTGCGGAGATGACTCTCGATGTATTGCCCCGCCGTGCCTGGCCGGGGCTGGAAGTAACATCTCCCCACCACCGCACCTTGCAGCAACTACGGGACGAAGAAAGACTGGAACAGCCGCATCGTCGGCCGCACCCCGATGAACATCTCGCATAAATGCGCGAAGATGGCCAGCGTCATCACGACGTTGGGTGCGAGATGCAAGGCATGGATTTCGTAGAAATCCAAAACCTCGTGGAAGAATCCGAAGAATGGCGGGATCAATCCCGCCATAGCAAAGGATAGGAGGTGCACGGATCGCTCCAGGTACCGTGGCCGCGGCCGCGACTCCCCCGCCCTCACGGCGGCGCCTTCTGGCATGATCTTGCGGGGGAGACTAAGGTGCCTATCCACCGTAATGCGCGATGCCGGAAGCACTGCGTCGCCAGCATCTTGAGCCATGATGACCGGCGGAGAAGCGACGAGGGGCTTGGTGTGCGGAGTAGCATGGAGTGGCGAGAATGTTTGGGCTTAGGGAGCGAGTGTGCGGGTGAGCAGTTGGCGAAAGGAAGGAGGCAAAGTCCCCGCCTCCGTATCCTTTTATCCCTGCCTCGCCCGCGCTCGCCTCCTTGTTTCACGCCCTCACGGTTGCGCCCACAATTCTCGCGCCTGCAGTTGCCTCATCGTTTCCTGCAACTACTCATCACGTCGCCCACGGAATCCGCGCCCCGCATTTAGCGCGCCTGTCAGCGGCACACTCGGCGTTGGGCGTGCGACGGTCACGGGCACAATCTGGGTGAACCGTCACCAGTACCTCCGCATGCGTGGCGTGCGAGGGAGTCGAGGTGTGGTCTAACCGACCCCCTGATTTTCGCGCCTTAAGCATCCTCATCATCAGCGCGGTAAGTGGCGGTCAAACCGCTGTTGTGGTTGATATGCCAACCTGGCCACTCGGCGGCATCCGCTTAGATTCCCTGCCGGGCCCACAACCCCAGCTTGGGAAGTAGTGAGGCACCACGTCAGACCGACCTCAGGAGGCCAATGTCCGATGTGGTGCCGGGGGCTACTGTCGGAGATATGGGCCCGGGGGTATGCGAAATGAGGGGAATCTACCTTCCCACATCTTACCACGTGTCCCTACAGCCTGATCCTGCCCCCGCATTCCGCGAACCGCAGGAGTGGCCAGGGGGGTCGGGGCCTCGGGGTGCCAAGTCATGTCCCTCGGGCCCTTGCACCGCCTTGCCCCGAGGCCCTCGCCCAGCCGCCATTTGGCGGGGGGAGCGAGCGAGGAGGGGGCCCAGGCTGAACCTCCTTTAATGCGCGCAGCGCCCCAACTGCCCCTGTCACATTTAATGCAGTGGGGCAGACATGCGGCGTGCTAAAGTGACGCGCGATGGTCAAGAATGACCAGTCTGTGACCGGCGTCTGACCGGCCTGACACCGGTCACGTCTGACTGGACGGACAACCGTGCTCCCACGTCGCGTCTGCTTCCGGCGGAGTGGAGGTAGGTATGACCCGTCCCATCGGAGGGTCATTCGGACGGCAGCCACCACAAGTCTTTACCCATAAATGAGGGAATGACAGGGCTGTTCCCCGTGTCAGGCGAGGGATGGCGCTGAGCCCCACTCAAGGACAAGCTGTGGTTTAGCTTCCAGGCGAAGGCACGGGTCGAGTTCCGGTCAAGATAGGGTGGGTCCCCACTCGAAAGAAGAGTAGGTAGAGGCGGTGCATGTGGTATCCCCTTGAGGTACAAAAGGAGGACCTTGCCCACCAAGAAAGAGGACGACTCTTAGAAAACCTAAGCTCGTGGAGGAGGGAACGAAGAGTGTTCTCCCGAGTTTAGGAACCCTTGTAACTCTCAGTCTAAATCCCATTCACAGGAGTAGGGTATTACGCTTCATAGCGGCCCGAACCTGTATAATTTGGTGGTGTGCGAGCTAGCTAGGAGCCTTGGGAACGGATACGTGATTTCTAGAGGCGAGCTTTTTCCCCCGGCCGAACTCACGAAAGGGGGTCTCACGATCTCCCGCTACAGAGGATCACTCCTCGATACACCCGATTGAGATGGTGGTTACCGTTCTAGTGATATAGCCTTTTCTTAAAATACTCTAGATAATAATTGCTAGTGTGTGATGATGTGACACACTTGCATGTTGAGCTTTAGAAGTCATCAAAAGTCTAAATGTACTCATAACGTGACACATCAGTATTAATAAGAATTTAGTAAGAAAAAGTTAGTATGTCATATAGCCTTTTCTTGAAATACTCTAATTACGCCCTTCGTCCGTAAATATAAGGGATTTTGGTTGGATGTGACACATTCTAATACAATGAATCTGGACAGAAGCATGTCCAGATTCATTATACTAGGATATGTCACATCCCACAAAAAAATCCTTAAAGTCTTTAAGGATGAGAGTACTAGTGTGTGATGATATAACATATTAGTATATTGACCTTTATAAGTTGGACCTTTATAAGTTGGTGGACGTCGACTTTATAGTAAGATAGGATTTGACTGTTGCACTTGCATGGCATAACGTGCTAATTAGGAGTAGCCAAAATAAAAAAATTTAAATAGAGTGATTTTAGATATTCTTTCATCGTGAAGTGAGCATAGCTCAACTGGTTAGGTTCCTTGTGGTGGAACCAGCCCACCCGGGTTCAAATCCTAGATTTGACACGGGTGCTCACATTTACGGCTAATTATTCTTTCAGTGGTAGGCGACGTACCCGTCGACAGCGAGGTGCCTGTGGTGACTTCGTCAATCTCAAGATATGTCGGCCCAGTCTTCCGGAGGTGCTCATAGGGGGTCCAGTCTTCCGGAGGTGCTCATAGGGGTAGGGTGTGCGTGTGTGCGTTCATAGGGTGAGTGTGCGCACGTTGTGAGCACCTGCGTTTGTACTTTGTTTCTAAAAAAAAAGATATTATTTCATCGTAGTTTATTTATGAGAATTTTCCTGTGTAGCTTGGTTGTTGTTTAACATATACTCACGTTCTGCCATGGGATTAGTAGTTATTAGTAGTTCCATCCCATTGCTTAGTTGGCCTATATAATTTATGAGTTGAGGCCCTAACTTTCATGGATGGGCCCAATGCAGCCGCCCATCTCACCCATGCCCAGCCAAATTTAATCCAGCCCTCTACAATCTCCATGCTTCAACAAACAGACAACAGCACTACAGCAGGCCAGCAGGGTGGTTCAAAAAAAAAAGAAGAAGAAGAAGAAGCAGATAACAGCTAATTGGCTAAGCTGCGACACCTTGTAGATTATGGACCTAACGCTGAACGCAATGTGTTTGCATAGGTTATGCAAGATAGACTATGGACAGATCGATCGGCTGAAATTACATCCCCGACTGAGTGTTTCAGTTTTTCCTTACCAAG